TACAGTCAGGTGGCTTACGATACGTTAGGTGATGACTATGGGTCTATATCTAGCTGACGTACATGGAGCATTTTGGTTTGCACCTGAAAGCATCAACATCCCATCTCTGCCGTTCGGCTGGCCTCTCCATCCAATGAGCTCCTACGGAGACGGAAGACGTTCAACGTGGCACGTCCACCGTCAAACAGCGTTCAGATCCCAAACACTCCATGGGACCCTCCTGGACCCTCCGACCTTGGTGTCCTGGCTGGACTACCCCACACGGATCCGGCCGGCCTCGGCTTCATTCCAGGGCACCCCGAAAACGGAGGGTCCTGGTTAATGATCATCTCTTGAACCCACCTTTTTTCACACCATTTCTGTGTTTTGCGTGGCCTTTATCGAGTGATCCTAACAGCCCGTCTGATGTTGCGTCTGAAGGATCCTGATGAATGAACCGCTAGCGGCAAGCCTCAAGCAGATAGAGGGTCTAAGCCAACCACCCGGCTGAGCTTTGGAAGATGCCAACCACCCGGTGGTGCCGAGCTTCGGAAAGATCGCCAGCTCACATCGAGCTGAAGCTGCAGTCCCATCAACAGCTCAACAGGTGAGAGAAGGTAATGGATCCATAATGGTTATTGTTATATGTTCTCCTATTCAAACAGCTTTTCTTTTTTTGTCCGCATGTTTAGCCACACTTCGATTTCTCTGTTCTGATCCACACCCATGTCCTGCTCATATTTTAACAAGAATTCACAAAAGCAAATGCCACCCAAGTCCAGCCGATTTGACAGAAGAAGTGGAATGGCCCTGTCAACCGGTAGGTAGACCAAAGGGAGCCACTGAAAAGGGTTGCTTCTCGAGTTGAATTCAATGGACCCTAACTCCCGAGCCGCCGGAGGTGAACCGAACGAACTCCACCTGTTCCTCTTTCCAACAAAAAGGTTAAAGGACCAGGAGTCACTAGACGGGGTGGTGTTTAGTCCCATCCAGTGAGTGGATGTTGTGGGCACCCCTTACCTCCATGGATAGCTGTTAAAGGACGTCAAAAAGGTTATCCACTTTTCCTGGGCAGGTGGGACCTTCTCCATCTCAGGTCTTCTAGATGTCCTCCAATTCGAGAAACCCGCTCCTCTATTGCAGCAACCAATCATGAGGTTCCAAAAATGTTCAACCCACTCACCAACAACCTCTGCCACCGGAAAAGAATATGCCTCCCCTCTCTCCCCCTACCAAAGGCATGTCTCAGGGACGTAGATCAGTTGGGAGGAGAAGATGTTCTCTGGTCGTTTTTGCGCTCGATCGAAGTCGCTGTTCCCCACAGCCACCTGGACTCCCATGTGCTGGTGAGGGCTCCAGATTCATCTGGTTCACCTGCCATAGGCGCAGGGGGAGGCACATGTGGGGGATGAATGTTCCTCAAAAAAGGAACTACCATGAACTACAGCTAGATTTGGGAGTGTTTGATCAAAAGGGGTCAATGATTGTGTTACACTGTGCTATGATAACAAGGCCAATTGATTAATATTGCCGTCAGCTGGGCCGGCAGGAAAGCCATGCACAAGGTGACTTGTGCCTCTCGGCACACATAGCGCCTCCACCCGTGCAAAAAAAAGGCAGGAAAGCCATGCACAGTACAAGCATCTCAAACAATCTTCCTGCAGCCCCAGCGGCTTGTCTTTTCTGTCAGTGAGTTTGCTTTGACAAGTTCTGTCTCCTCCTAAACCCTGAGTACATTATATATATATATACACTAAGTATGCCGCTAAGTATGCACAGAATGAAATATTGCACTCCCGAAAACTAACGTAGACATAGACCCTGACAATGGCCCCCTGGATTGTTTTCCTCTACCAAGCAGCAGTTTCAGGGTCCATGGGATCGTCTTCCAGGGTGTACTATCACATTACAACTGCATGTGTGTATCCGTGATTATCCGTGTAATTATATATCTTTCCCTAGGGATCCAAGTACCTTCTCAGAAGGTGTTTGGGGTGGGTTTGGAAGGTCCAAGTGCCTTCTGAGAAGGTACTTGGATCCCTAGGGTTTAACAACAAGCACCCAAATGTTTGTACAATAGGGATCGGAACCCTGGCGCTCTCTTTGGAACCCATCGAGATGGGGATTTCCACTGCTGGTGCACCTGGCTCCAGGTGCGCCCTAAATGGATCCACAATCCCCATGTAGAGGAGGTTTCAACCGATGAGGCTTTGATGCTTTTACAATCCATGTCTGGGGAGGTTACTGTATATTGACTCAAGAGTCTATACTATAGTCAGTTCTTTGCAAAGACTTCAAGCGTCAATCTTTGGATCTGGACACTTCTTCGCCCACCGTGGGCCGGAACTCCTCGCTTTCAACCCCAAGACAAGAGCAGTGTATCTTCCAAAAGAACCTGTCAGAAGACAACTCCCTATTTCAGGCCACCTCCCCCCTTTGAAGCGGAACCAAGCTCGATGCCCAGCACCAACCCGTTCGTGCAAATGCGGTTCTCCCGCCACCCCCCATCCGGTGCGGGGCTCCCGCACCGGAGTAGAGTATCCTCCTCCGGGTCCAGTGGAGCCCTGAAGCTGAAGGGCGGACGTTGGATGCGTCTAGTGTCTGTCTCAGCACATGGGTGGGTTGAAAATGATGGTTGTCTCAGCACACGTCGGACATCACAATCGGGGTTTTTGGCTGACAAGAACTGCCAAAGATTTCAACTTGGCTGGCATTTGATCTATCTATCTTGCTTGGGTATGCTTGGGTGATCCCCTAATGACGGGTGAGGGCTGGGGGGGGCCCCATTTTGGAGTGGAACGTCGTGGAACGTCCTGCACATCGCCAGGACATCTTGGACCAAGCGCCCACGAAAAAACATCGGGGTTGATAGACACTCCTTTTCCCAGGCATTTTCCCTCCAATACACTCCCTAGAACTGACATGGAATTGGAGAATGGCCCCGAGTTCGGAAGACCATGTTTCATCCTTTACAAACAGGGGGTGAACTCCACGAAACCAGGTTAGGGACCCAGGGAGAGTAACTGCCCCGAACTCCCGGGGTGATGTCTTTTCCCGATCGGGCGGCGAAATCGGTGCGGTCGAGCGGAAGGGTCTCGAAGCGGAGCCCAGTCTCGCCACACCCCAGCGCAGCCTCTACGTCCTGTCATTGCTAAATACTCGTGACTGAATAGTCGTGGCACGGTTTCCAATGTTTCCAATACATTTTGAAGGGATCTACGAACTTCTGTCTATTTTGGGGCCTATATACTTGGTCTTGCCACCACTTCTAAGCACTTCCTCAACATAGCACAACTAACATCACAACTGCTTATGATGGACCATGGCCTTTCCCAGGAATTGAGTATGAGATGTGAAGGGTTCGTTTTCTGCAGGGCTCCCACTACCAATAAGCTTCACCAGGGTAACTCCATCGTTCCTGGCCCGTGCAAATTCCCATCAAGAGAATGGGCCTGCAAAGCGATGCTAATCAGCAGTTGTCCTGTTTGCTCTCCTTTCTTGAAGAGTGGCACTGGTACCTGCAACCGTGCGAATCGCATTGCAGGGCAAACGATGGCAAACGGGGACATACATGGAAACAGAAAAGGAACCGAACCGAACCATCGCCAGCAAAGCAACTGACACATGTATACACACATATATATATAGATTCATTGAATTGCCGGACTGGTGGCTGCGATGTGAAGTCAGTTCGCCATGATCCTGGCGCCCTCCAAAGAAACTTCAACACAATCCAAGCTAATATAGACTCTTGATTCATACACCCGCCCATTGGAATTGAACATTCTCTTCAAAGGGGGGATTTATGAATCAAAAAACCAAGCGAACCTAAGCCCACCCCACCCCCTGCGCCGCCCTCCCCTGACCTCCTGTGGACGGCCACTGGCTCTGCGCCACAAGGTGTCCAACGTAAACTCCGCCTCGTCGAACCGCCGCCAACGAGCTTCCGGAGTCGGGAGAGGTGGGGGTGAAGACTTGGTTCGGACTGTCTTACGAAGCATAAGGAGTCTATAGCCGGATGCCATTCTAGCACTCCAGATCACTCTAGGACCTAAATCTCTAGCACTCTAGGATTGTTTGGTCAGATTCAAATCGTTTTTAACGTCATTTGGTCATTTGGCATTTCTACATGCATGGTCTGTGTGGGAGGAACACCTGCGCTACCCAAAGCATCACCACAGTTCCACCACAGTTCCACCGTGGTTTCTCCGGTTTCTCCGCAGGTCGTGCCAGTGTCGAACTCGTCAGTATTGCATGGCTCGTCTACCTTGGCCCTCGCTCTCGCTTGGTCTGAAATGACTGGCAGTGGAACTGACATGAACTGGCCATATTACCATGAACTGGCATATGATACACAACGGTTGACCTCAAACACCATCTACCACCCCAAACAGGTCGTATCATGATCTATCATATACCCTGGGGATACAACCACCTCCTGAGGTTCGGTGTTTGGGGTAAGTTTTGGTGGTCTAGCTACCTCCTGAGGATGTGGTTGGAGCCCTAGGGTGTATACAAGTGGACAGGCGACGAGACTGCGGTATATCTTCCAATGTTCCTAAGTTACCAAAAACAACTCTTGAAAAGTGTGCGCGAGCGTCAGAGATATTCTGAAGAATTCTGAACATCTTCAGCTTCTACTCATGGATTCGACGGGGGGAGGAGAGGTTTTACTAATCAAGAGCTATGCCAGTACCTATCCACACCTTGCAAATGAAACGGTTATTCCACTCTCATCCTGTTCTGGGTTCCGACAAGGAATCGACGCGCCCCTTTTCGCCAGATCTGCCTTCGATCTTGAGGCCGTCCCAGTCTTTTTGACCAGACCAGTTGGGATCTCAAGAGAGGTTGAAGCCCCTGCTTTAGCCCATCCCATATGTACCACAAACCAGGGTCCAGGCCAGGTCTTCCACCTCCAACCGTTGGGATCTCAGATCTCTCAAGCCCAGAGCTCGCTCGCCGACCGAGGTCCAAGGTCCGACCTCTCGGCCGCGGCCTAGCGAAGCCGCTGGAATTCGCGCTCACTCGAAGATGGTCTTTTGATGTAGCATCTGCCTCTGCTTCTCGCACAGGATCTTTGCCCCAAAGCGCTTCTCCACCTCCTCCACGTCGCGGACGAAGCGCTCGACCGTTGCCTTGTAGAGAGCCTGGAGAAAAAAACACCACACAAAGAGAAAACCTGGAGGACTAACACGAAACACCAACTTTATACACTCCTAGAATTATCATGCAAGTGGATGAAAACCATCTATTATCATCTATATTTGTAGAGGATTCATGGTCATCCCAAGTCGCCGGAGACCCTCACACATCCCCGACAAAGCATCATCACCATGGAATTGAGCTCACACACACAGCAATCCAAGCAAGCTCAAAGGATCTCAACGATCTTGTTCGGTTCAGGACATCCACCCCGACTACAGAATTGACCTTCACCGCCCCCACTACGGACAAAAAGGTAGGGCGAACGAATCAACAGGTAAAACTCGTCAAGTCATAAGTCATAAATGAGTCATATGGCATATGAATTTCTCTCATTCTACGAGCCGGGTTGTGCCCCGTGAAACAGCCTGCTTAAGGTTTGTCATGTTCCAGCCTGCTTTTTTCAAGCACCGTTCCGGTCGTCAAGTCGGTGCGGGTCGGCGCCTGGTCAAGTCGGGTGAGATCATCCAATTTCTGCAGAACCTCTTCGGACTCATCCTCCACCGAGTCCTGGTAGGCCACTCCATGATCTTCTCGTGTGTCGACATAGGTCTTCCAGCTTGGACGATCACAGTGGCAATGTGCCGGCAACGAGTCCAAGAAATAGGCATGGAATAAACCTCAACAACGAATTCTGGGGAGACAGATCCGCCACATGTTTTTTCTTGGTCATCACGCAGTTCGGGAAAGCGTCTGGTGGCATGTCTTTACCTTAAAGGGAAACCAATGAGAATGAGATCCAATGAGAACGACCCCACTGGGTCACTGGAACGAACCAAGGTGCTTGGACTTGGAGCTGCCACACTCCGTGTTAGGGACTCCACGGGGTAAGAACCATCTAAGAACCATCCAATCTTTGGCGGCGAAAGTGGGCATCACTGAAAAATCTGAACTTCCAGCCTCCAACGCCCATGATTACCTTACACTCGCTGAACTCACATGTAAGTAAGTTCCATGGCCCCTTAGAAGATCTTTTGAAGACCCTTTGCATCTACGAACCGGTTTCTTTTTAGATGCATGCTTGCATGCTTGGACTTTGTGTGCCAACCTGCCGAGCATGAGCTGGCGTCACAACGGCGTCAGCGTGTGGGGCGAAGTGCCGGGTGCTGACCAAAGCGACCGTCACTCACGGAAACTGGATGAATTTGGTTCTTTGGAAGACTGTACAAGAGAAAAAACTGCGGGGTTTCCCACTTCCACGTTGGTGACTCAGAGAGAAAGTCCTAGACCATGCTTGCCGATGTCCATTTTCAGGCCTGAGACGGCCTGCTCATCACCCCCGGTGAGGTCGATTGAGCCCCTCCAGATTGAGCAAGATGTTCTAGAAGTGAATGCCGCAGCTGGAGGGCTTCTGGAATTCTTGCCCAAAAGTCAGGGATCTCTGACTTGGGCATCCAACGATACAGGTTAGACAAATACATTTCTCAAGAGCTTGGCCTGGAAGAGGTAGGTAGACCGGCGTTCTCCGGTTCATGGAAGAGGTAGAAAACACCTCCAACCACCCCACTGTGTGCTTATTCAGTGTGCTTTGTTTTGGGAGCACAGGGACGACAAACAAATCAAGCCAAGGGAGCTAAGAGTTCACAACATGGCTAAGAGCTCACAGAAACAAAATTTCTGAGTGCCGCGGACTGTTCCAAACCGGTCTACAAAACTGATTTCTCTATACAGTGCGGGGGTGTCCCCAGCTAGGGTCCAACATGTCACCAACATAAAGGAGGGATGACCCCCCATTTCATAGAGGAAACCACAGGTCTATGACCACCGCCCTGATAGGCCTTCTGGGTCAAGAGACATAGGGACTCGTGATAGGCCTCAGTCACGCCCACCAAAGTCGTGGCCTTCATGTTCTTCACAGCCAAGTCCTGAAGACGACGACAAAACATCTCCGACGAGAACGAGGTCACATCTCGTGGGCCTCGTCGTGGTGCCAAACGATGGGTTCGATGCAAACAGCAAACAGCTGTGGGCGTACCCGATGGATCCAAAGGCACTCTGAGGTGAGGAGGGGCCCTCCAGGCTGGATACATAAGGGTAAGCATCATGTTGGGGTGCATTTTGGCTTGATGGATTTTCGGAAATTGAATCACTTCTTATTGAAACCACTTCGTCCAGGGTTCTGGGCTCCAAGAACTCTCTCTCTCTCTCTCTCTTCGTCCTGACTTGTTGAACACAAATGACACAACAAAAGAGTGAACCCCTTTCCTTCTGTGGTTCAGGCAGAGGTCCACCCCAGCCAAACCTCAACTTTGGTTATCAATTATTATTGATTTGCATATGATAGCTGCAGGACTGCCTCTAGGTGTTACCCTAGAGCAATGCTATGCAATGTTCTACTTAAGTACAATTTATCGAAAACGAATGACACCCTCATGACACCATCACCGACATCGACCTTTTGGGCCCCCGACAACAAAGGTACGGAGGCTGTCCCCAGTGGCTGTCCGTACCATGAGTTGCTGTCGAACTGCCGAACTGAACCAGTTCGGACGACCGAACGAATAGGTCCCCAAACACCCGTTTCACCCGGTGGATGATGGGGCCATCTGGGGCCTGGTTGCAGGGCCTTTCTTGAAAAAACACAACCAATTAGTGGTGCTCGTTTTTTATTTTAAAACGTCTAGATATATATACCTTAGGATTCAATGCACGAAGAAAACGTCAGGTCTGAGTGAATCCCCGGGGTTTTCAGATGAAACCTGGGGTTTTTAGCTGAAACCTGGGTTTTGGTTTTCCTGGGCGGCCCTGTTTTCCCCACTGATGTGAGGGAACCTGCCCTGGTCTGAATTAGGTGGTCTAAGGCCTAAGGTGCACTCAGCTCCTGGATTTAACTATAGAAGGGCAAACAAAAACAACTGGTCATTCGGACAGCCCCCAGACCCACGATTGTTTCACAGGTTTGCATGGGTAAATCACGGCTTTGGCATGGGTTTGGCACGGGTTGGGAATACCCAGGGTTTTCATGGAAACCCGAGGTTTTCTTACTAAAATCACGGGTTGGCACGGGTATATCACGGGTTTGCCACGGGTTGAACACGGGTTAGTTGACGCAACATCTCAATCCGGAACTTTTCCCGATTGGGGCAAGATAATTCCGTTGTGGGGAAGATAATGGGTTTGAAAAAACCTGCGCTGCTTCATGTTTCTTGGGTTTTTACCAGGTTGTCCTGGTCAAGTCAAGTCTTAGAGCGTTTAATCGCTGCCTGGCTGCCGGATGGCAGGAAACCCGGCGTTTTGAATGGACACCCGATGTTTTGGATAGACACCCTGGTTCTTTATTGGTGTGGTGTATTATAAACTCGAGGTATCCATCGGACCCCGTCATTTTTGTCAGGGTTTTGATGCTAAGCCGCATCCAGTTACCACTATAGCTGGTAACCTGTGGTTCCAAAGACAGACTAACCACCATTGACCTAGAACCCCTGGTTCCTTATAGTGGTAACTGGGATGCACTGGGAAGGGTACATCAATGCTTCGCTCGAAGGGAATCACCGAAAAACACGGCACGATCGATCCTTTTTTGGGTGGATCACGGAAGGACGCTCGATCCTTCGAGGGCTTCTTTTACAGCGGCTGGGCGCTGGATTTGGAGAGTACAAACATCCAGTGCAACTCCTATACTTCCACAGGGCTCCTGTCCCATCTTCTCTCAGGTTCGGTGGTTGGACCGCTAGGGCGATCTTGAAGGTGATTGGAAGCCAGGGGGCCCATATGTCTCCCATGGACCATGGAGTAAAATATCTGGGTTCCATATGTCTGACATGTCCACATCTATGTCCACCTGTTGGATCGTTGGCAGGTGGACGAATCCCATGGCGCCCATGGGGCTACTCCTGGGACGTTGGGTTTTCGAAGTCAGGGCAGCACGTTGGGACGAAGACATGGAACGGGGATCCATGTCATGCACCACCACTGGAGAGCCACCACTGGCGGACTTACTCTAAAAGCACTCCGAGCCCTTGAGGTGCGGTGTCCGAGGTGCGTTGACCTGGAGACCTTTTGATGGACTTACTCTACCTGGAAGGTCTTTCGCTGCATGGTGGACCAGGGCTGAGCCTGCAACCCTCCCTCCCAAGTGGATGGCACCCCCCCACTCATCGATTCCGACCGTCGTCTTCCGAAATCGGAAGCGGAATCGTTCCGGAAAGCACCATACTCTTCGATACTCGTCGTCTCGTCTCGTCTAAGTTCATCTGGGCGGCCAAGTCAATCTCCTTGCGGCAAAAGTTCACCCCCGCCACCGAGCCGGACGTGGAATTCAAGTCGACATCGCACACCAAGCGGGCCTCGTCCCGGTCGACGCGCTTGGCCCGGCAGCAGTGCAGCCAGGCTGAAAGCCAGGCTGAAAGCCATGCGTTTCGGGCTGCGTTTCGACCCACTCCGCTGCGTTTGGTAGAAGCCAATGATGGTGGAAATCGCACTACGACTGATTGACCCTTGAAATCAAACTCCCCCCGCATTCTGGTCAAATTTGTGCACCTCAACTATACAGTAGACATGATTTGGTGCAGCTTGGAGTGCCACCAATTGAAAGAACCGAAACAAAATATAACAAAACAATTCAGTACCAGCTCCATCTCCAAGGAAGTCACCTGCCAACCAGCAACATCTTATTAAACATACCTAACAATAGACCCTGCTTGGTAGTTGAACCCATTATAGCAGTTACCATGCATTCTGTCTCATTCTCTCCTCTTCCAGTCCGGTTGCGAGGACGACACGTCGCCAGTTCTTCACGCGGACGCGGCCGCGCACGGCCCAATCCAGTGGTCCCATGGCGTCCAAGTGGCCGACTGAAGGTTGTAGGGGCAGTAGCACATGTCTTTGTCCGCCCAAATGACTCGGTCGGCAACACCGTGGTGGGTGGTCTATGACGGCAGAAGGGTAGGGTCGACAGGACGGCAGAAGCCCGCGAGGGTCTAGCCGGGCCGACCGCGTCTCAAATGGACCGCGACCGTGAGGGAAGGAAACAAGGAGGGAAGGGAACGGAGCTGGCAGTTGGATACATGGCGTGCCTTGAGTGCCGGTAGATTCCACATGTTTGCAAGCACATGTTTGAGTGAACATTGTGTTCCCTGGCTTTATATATCCATTGCGATTCTTAAACCTTCACGCTGGATCACGATTTTCCCCATCAATCTTCATCGTTTCGATTCAAAGCTCGTTTCTTTCATGTTTCCAAACACGTGGTCCAGAACCCCAAGACAATCATGTGAAGCTCTTGATATCTCTTGATCTCTTGACCCTAGAATCAAGTCTAAAGACTCTTCGTGTTCCATCTTTCTCCTAAATGAAGCACAAAAAATCATGCCCTTTCAGGTCACCTATATAGTCAGACCATCCTAAACTGGTGACTCCCATGGAAAAGAATAGACATGTCCTTTCCCGTCATAAAAATGGATTCCTGGGGTGTCACGATTGACAATAAGACCCAAAAACAACCACACAACCGGTGGATGGTATTATAATGTATATAACCATATGACATAAATTCTGGATCTTTCGGGATGGACATTTCAATGGGGTGTCCTATCACAAGTGCTAACATCCGATTCCCAGGACACGGATGAACGAATCCAGGCCCGTTCCGCCACACAGTTCGGACATTTTGTTCCCAACACCCCTGCTATGGGAAGAGCCCGGACTCGGATTCCCAGGGTTGAATGACTCCGTCCCAACGCTGCGCCTTTCGTCTCCCGGAGTCTTCCGAAACCGGCACCGTTTGAACTGCGGACCGGTCATTGGTGCGGATCGGCGGTCCCAGGCGCTATGGTCGTAGAAGTGAGGCTTTTCGGTCCATTCCTCCACCCATCCACTGAAGTTGCTGGGCAGGTGATGATTTTCTTGGCCCTTCAGCATGTGAAGAGCATCTCAGTCGGTAACAGCGCCGGCGTGAAGTTAACCGCATGCCGCGTTCCGCGGCATATCGATATATATATATAACACCCCTCAATATACGTGTGGTCCGTATGGTACCATATTACCATATGGTACCCGCTTAATGTATACACAACATAACACCACATGTAGCCAACAAAAACCTATGAAGTTAAAAATAACTATAACCAGCTTCTTCAAAGTGCCCTTTTTGGAGCCCCGGTTCGTGACCTTTGACAGGCCCGGAAACGTGACAAAGCAGCAAATCGAAAGGCCCGGTCACTTTGCAGAACCAGGAATATTCAGATATCTGCAACAGCATGTTTGATCATTTTGGGAGGAGGCGCAATCAAACTGACAAAGATATCCAACTATAAATGCTCAACAAGTATGGCCATTCAGAAACCATCGTGCTTATTTAGTCTTGATGGCCGAAGTCGACTTGCAACTTCAACTGGAAAAAGGACACTCTCCCCATAATAAGGCGATAGATTCCTCACAGAATCACCCCTCAAGCCTGTGAACATCTTGGAAACTTCAGAGTTTTGCCGCTGGATGCTGCCGGGGCACTGGCCCATTTGTGGTAGCCAGGACCAGTGGCTTGGTCGCACCTCGCTGTCGTTATTGGAAACGACTTGAATCTCAGAATCCTTCCCTACGAACCAATGACCGCGTAAATTTGGATTGCTTCACATCACCGAACTTGTTCTTCACCAATTCGGAACTCGTCTTTCTTGCTTCGGTAGGGGTCGAAACCATCCCGTACAGGTCCAAGGACTCAGTAAAACCTGGTCCTGTACCTCATTGAGTCGTGTTTGTTGTATGACCAACTCCAGTAAAATAAATATAGCAAAATGAGGTTTTTGACCTGTAGAGATCTATGTTATATTATATAACCCCCCGGACTTCTAATGGAGACTAGTGACAGGTGGGTGACCTGTAGAGTCAGGCGCTGGTGGAAGTCCCCACGCAAGGATTCCCTCAAACATCCTCAAACCATCATTCGAACGACCCTTCTTGTACCAACAGAGGTCGGTTGAAGGACGCCTTCAGGTTCGGTCCTATCCCAGGCCGTTGTGTACCCCTTCGGTTAAGAACCGGGTCCGGTCGTGTCGTCCGGTCGTATCCGATCCCAAGGGCTGTGTGTGTTTGTCTTGAGCGTTTGTCTTCGAAAAGGGATCAGTATAGTCGCGGAGTCTCCCGTCGATGCACACCCAACAGGATGAAAACCAAAACAGAACAATGCCAACAGAATATCGCGGTGTTCGCTTCATATGCCAGAATGGGGTTGCCCAATGATACAAGCTTGCAATAGGGAGACCTCTCATAAGTCTGGTACCTTCTGCGATTTAGCGCAAATCCCGATGACTTGATCCATATGATGTTCGCAAGCGACCACACCTGCTGGTGAGACTAGAGACTATAGAGACTCACGGCCGCGCACGAGATACCCGGAGTCAGAGATGATGTCCGAGACACTCCTGGTACAAAGCAAAGACATGTTCTCTTGGATGCCTCACCATCATCACTGACGTCTCAAAGGTGCCAACCTACAGAGACGGAGCGATGCTTGCACCCTGTAAGAGACTGAGAGAACGGAAGAGACCCAACTGCAGACCTCTTCAGGTCTACCTTTTGCGGGTGTCTCACACCGGCAACTCCTGGGCTCTGTTGTTTGGAACCCAAACGACCTGAGGTGGTTGGAGCCCCAAACAGGATGGTGTTCACTGTCGCACGTCCCACGGACGTGTGACCGATGTGAGCCCGGGCACCACGGATCCGGAACCGTGTCACTGGAGTCGACATGCGCCTAGCTCAGGAAGACACTTCCCCAACAAAAATTGATGTGACAAGCAAGTCTCCAGTTGGAGACATATCAGTTGTCACACTGATAAGAACAGATACCGGACATCTGAATGATTTGGAGAATATATATATATACCTATAACAGGAATTAGCCACTCCTGTCAACAAACATGGAATTGGACCCGAGAACGGAAGGGTTTCATGAGAACCATGTTCCGAGATATGCTTCCATGTTTTTCAGTTGATTGGCCGAGGGCATCCATATACGCCGACGTCCACCTACTGTACTCAACCTGAGGCTTTTCCAATGTCACTTAGTGAACCATTTTTCAGCCCGGGAGGGACCAAGTCCGAATCAGGTATGCATAAGTCATAAGTCTAAGTCATGTTAAGTCAGCTGATGTTCCAATGCTGTGGCCAGGGCTCACTCTGCATGGGTACTGGCCTGGCCAACGAAGATCATCTTCCAGATGATCTGATTAGGTCTATATCAACTTCTCGTTTGCAGGCTCTAGCTACTGCATATGGCCATCCGGGTGCTCCATCGTTCGTCGCCCCGTTTCAACTCCCACATCGCACCAGGACTTCCCCCAACGGCCCCAAGAACGCCGTCCGTGCCATCCCAGACTCTGTCTGCACGCTGAAGCAGGTCTCTTGGGTGTAGATCTGATGTCGTCCCACCATGTGGCTCAAATCATCCACGATAGAACATCCCGCCGCCTGGTCCAGCTTAAGCAGCACCGGTCCAAGGGAGGCGGGTCTGTCCAAGGGAGGCGGGTCTGTCCAAGGGAGGCGGGTCTGTCCAGACCCGCTCCTTTCCATGCATCAAAGGCATTTTTTTTGCAGAACGACGGGACGGTGTCCCACTAGTGGTATTCCTCTGACGGCGGTCATTCACATGTATTCACTAAAAACTCCATGCTGACGGGGTGAGTAACGTTGCAGCATTGAGTAACGTTGCAAACCACAGGCGATGCCACCAAACAGCATCAACCCAATGGCGATCCACAGAGTTCACCAGCCTACCAGTGAGTTCAGCTGGTAGAGACACACCCTTTCCCTGGGTTTTGTTGTGAGCAATCTTCTGGCTTTTGGTCGTGACGTACTCAGCCGTGGCTATATCATCACCACTGAAGAAGACCACTGCGATGCCTTCTAGAAGTTACAGTATATAATCACCACAGGCTAACGCCGGGCCTGCAAGCCTGATCAAAAATGTAAACAACCCATGACACCCCCTCACAACCCACAGTTGCACGGAGAACTTCCCCTTACCTTGCAGGGCACCAAATATGAAGAACACCACTGCCAGGGATTATGGCTCATCAAGCTCTGACAATCTTCGACTCCAGGATCTCCAGGTCCCAAGACCTTCCTCCTTGTTCCTTCACGACTCCCAAACAGCTCCTTCCTTCGAACGACGACGTTTCTGATGGTTCTTGTTTGTATTTGGGAGGCCTTGGGTGTGTGGAGAAAGAAGACCTGGCGCTGCAAATTGTATGGGACAAAGTTGTCCCAGCATCTCACTTCAGTGTGTGGCGCCACCGTCGGATGCGGACCTCGGTGCAAACCTCGGCTGAAGGCCGAAACCGCATCGCTAGTGCGTGTGCGGAAGGTGGAGTCGTGGTCTTTTGGATGGGGAAGCAATGGGTAAAACCTCTTTGAGGGTGGCGTCCAACCTCTCACAGGAGCTGCTTGTGGGTCGAAAGTCACGGTAGTCATTCCTCTGCCAAGGATCTGAATGTGTAGATTCACACGTTCCACGTTCGGTCTTTTTCCTTTGACAACTACCATCAACGGCCACAGCTACTGGTCCTTTCAGAAGGTGACCGTGCTCTTGCACGAAGCTCGGGCGGGCCAACGGCTCTGAGCATCGGGTTCGCAACTGGAGGTCCTCTGATCAGTCGGATTCCGAAGGTGTCTTGGCTCCTCTGAGGGCGTGGGTGTTCAGTCCCTGGACCCCGCGAAGGAAGTCGATGCTCGTGGATCGCATCTGAAGGTCGGCCCCGCACTCACTGCCATCCATGGGCATGGAATAGTTCTACCTACATTGGGGTCATGGATGGGGTAAATGACTTGGTACATGATATATTATATAACTATTCCATACTATTCCATCCATGGATGGTGGAAGGTTGGCTCCTCTCCCACCAGTGGCGTTTTCCCCGAAACTCCTCCGCCTCGGGCAGTCCGGAGTCGGTCGGACGGACTCCTTCTGCCAGGGGGCCGAGGACTCCACGAAAGCCAAGCAGAACGAGTGTGAGGAGTTTCATGTTCGATCTCGAGGTCGAGGAAAGAGCGGATGGTTGCGCTCTTGAGCCCGACGTGCTGCCGTGCTGCGGACGTGAGGCCATCTCACTGGTCCACTGAAGTTCTCAGCTGTGTAGAGAGATGATTTTTCCGAACATCAACGAACCCATGATTGGATGAAACCTCTGAGACCAAGACAACACAATTGATAATCTTTCCTGCGTTCGTCAGTCTAATAATCATATATCGCAAACACTCCATGGACTCCACAAAGGCCGACATTGATCCCCTTTTCAACCACCCCACGACAAAAATGTCAAAGTGTCTGGGTATAGAAGCGATGGTTCCTTTGGTCCTTTGGTAACTGGGCATTTTGGGATCATCACATTGACCTGGTGGCTGGCACCCTCCTGGTGCCAGCCCCACATCCCAAGAAACACCCAAGCGTGGTGCATGGTTTTGAGGGCTTTGGTGGGAAGTGACAAAACAGGCTTTTGAAGAATTTTGAAGATTTTGGTCCAATGGGCGTGTACAACATGTCCAGCCTGCCAGGTTCTTGACATGGCCAGGTTCTTGACATGTCACTTGCCATCCAGGGTCATCCAATGGGTGTCCAATAGACTACCCCACCCTACTTAATTACAGGTCTCCATTGGGCACCCGTTGGAAGTGCTAGGATGGAACATCGACATGTTTTGGTCACTCCAGCCTTTGAACCCAACCCCCCTGGAACGGACGGAACCGGCCTCTCCGCACAGCACCGGGCTGCGCCACACGTGATCGATGTGAACCTGGCGGGTCTTCGGGGGGGTCGGAGCTGGGTGCCAGCATCGCGGAGGTCGGAGGTCGGAGTTCCATGGGTGAAAGAGATCGACCTGAAGGATCTGGAGAGTCGCAAGCATCTAATCTACCAAGCGAGGTGGAAGAAGCCTATAGTATGGCTTTCTGAGTTAGGTATGCCAGGTGAGGTAGGGTCCGGTAAGGTCTCTCAACCTCTCTTGGTATGCCAAGTAGCTGTTTGGCATCATTTGACGGTCATCGCAACATGGGATGAGTGGCAATCCACTTGGACGACCACGACTCGACTCATCCCCGGAGGACTCGGTCGGATCGCTCCCTCGTGCGGCGCCTTGAATTTCAAGGTCCTGCCACCTTTCGAAGCATCTCGGCCGCATAAGAACCTGGCGGAGCAAAGGACGAGGACGCTGAGACGAGGATGAGGCCTTGTTGTGTTTTTTTTTGGCCCAGCCATTGTTCATCAAGATCTTTCAGGCTTGGTTCCCGAATCACTTGTTCATTGGACACCCCTTAGCGCCGCCCAGGAGGCCCAGGAACCAATTCGAATTCGGCTTGGTACAGCTTTCGATGGACCAGTCCGACCTTTGAACCCCCGTCTGCGAAGCTCGCTGCGCTGCTGAGGAGCGGCTCCGTCTGCGATCCAGGACGGACGAAACCCAACAGTGACGAAGCCATTCAGCCCGGCTCGTACCCCCGCGCGTTTCTCGGCGCATTTCTCGGCGCGTGAGCCGTAAGCCGCCGTATCACTCCTTTTCTCCACGAACGCGGAGAAGAAGCCAGCGATGTCTCCTGCCATCCACGCCGACGTCTCCGGTGACGAGGTGACGCGACCAATGAAAGGATCACCGGATCCTTGACTGAAAATTCCACAAGTCGAAGCTCCTGGTGAGGGTGGTTGGAAAAAGCTACTCTCTCTCTCTCTCTCTGCATGTAATGTATTATATCTTATCTCATATATATATATATATTATATGAGTATCATAGAGTTACATTTTATCTATCTGGACCTTCAAGGTGTGTCCTGTCTGGAGGTCCCTTAGTAGTGTAGGGGCTTCCAGCCAGGTGACCCCGACATGAAGGTGCTGCTATAATGTATCGATATAGGGATTTGATGATCTTCCCGTCCCATGGAGTCTGATCCGCTTGGGGTGAGTCGCTCGCTCGCTCACCCGCGAACCAACGTCGGTGCCATGCCTCGTCCCTGGACCGAAGGCCGCCAACTGTCCTCATCTGCCTGGAGTGGGAAACGAATCCATCACAAAAGGTGAAAAGGATTGTAAACATATCCCTGTAATAGATCCCTGCAGGGGGTCCTGACATCCAGATAGAACGTGGGTAAAAAAGAACCAGGGTTTCCTGTTTAAACTGAGAAAAGGGCCAAAAGGGAGAGGAGTTGAATCCCTCACCCGGCCCCCTCCGCTGGACCCGGTTGCGCCTGAAAAACCCGGTCCTTCACGCAGAGTTGCTCCAGTTCTGGACCACGTCAGGCTGGTCGTAGCCCAGCTGGGCCAATGCAGAAGCGTCCAAGGCGAAGTTGATGAGGGCCAACTGGTCCTGAATTTCTAGAAATGACAACCATTCTTGGCCCATCTCAATGTCAACGACTGTCCGGCGTTAGAGTTGCCAGAACTGACAGCTCAAGTGCCAGCAATCAATCACCAACTAGCGCCTCACTTTTTTGTTGCTGCAGAATTTAATAATAAGGCTTTTCCAGGAATGCTCAATTCATTCGTTTCTCGAAGGCATGAGGCGCATGTGGCGAGATATAATTAAACAACATGTGGAGTCAATTGAGTTGTGAGATCAATCCCATTGGTCGCCCGTTGGGCCACCAATGGGATTGGATGTTGCGACCGGCGACCGTTTTTCTCGGTTTGCTTCGGGCAAAAAATAAAAGATGCATAGCTTGGGCAGCGCCCTTCGTCTCACAACACCACCGTCTGGACCAAACAAGTGATCCAAGAAAGAGCGCTCTATTTAGGATCCTGCCCTTGATTGGGATCCTCCAATTCACCAAAGGGAACAAAACCATAGGCACCTGATGACATGCATGTACATATGGTTTGGTCTTTTTGGCCAAGCTTGGCCAAGTCACCAAGAAGTATTTACAATGAGGCTTCTATTTTCGATATGTGCCTTGTTTGCAGAAACTGCAAAACCCGGTTCGTCAACATCTTTTTTGATCGATGTTGATACCCCAGTTTGGAGTTTCCGAGGGCGGTTGGGAATCATTGATACTCTTCAATTGTCATGGTAGGACTCGCCCAACTTGGTCATTTGTGCATCTGAACTGGTACGTTGTTCCTTCGAGAACAGGTTCCACAGGGATCGTTTTTTGAACACCACGCACAGCTCTCGGGCTTCACGAGTCTTGGGCGAAGGGGCACTGGTGAAGGCACCCTTCCGGTTCTTGGGCTGGCGGTAGAACCTGGGCGTTCGAGGAGGTCCTTTTTTTGGATAAAACTTCCGATTGCTTGTTCACTTGGGGTATCCCCTCTATTCATCAACCAACCAAGGCCGTAAAAGGCCATCTATGGGCGGATTGAAGCGATGCCCGGGAGTTCCCATGGTCCAGTGCCATGCTTCAAACGGTCGACCTAAATGACTCGATTTTGGAACTTTAATACCACAAATAGTCTTTGGACACTTCTTTGGGCTTGTAGGGGGCACTCTTCAATCTGAAAAGATTTCCTTACTTCGAGTGACCCCCGCCATGGCATGTCAAGGCATTTCGTGCCATGGTGGGGATCACTATATACAAGGTCTCAACACAGTCATACACAGAAGCATACACATTGCACTTTCAAAGTACACGATCTTTGGCCACAAGTACCATTGCCACAAGACCCATCTGAATCAAAGTGTTTTGTGAAACCAACGCCCAGCTACCTCTTGAGTGATCTTTTTCCACCTGATTGGTTGTTGATTCAGATTTGATCGGTTGAACAGAATCATGACAAAACATGTCAACACGCAGCCTGTCAGGTGTTTGTGATTAAATTTGTTTTCAACCTAAACAAATAGGATTCTGTACTTTTTGCATTTTGATGGCTCTCAGGATCTGATTGAGTTTCCATCCATAACTAAAACATCTGAGGGATTTCACCTTAGGATGATGGGTGGAAACAAGTGTTCCGTGTTCCACTACTGGACCATCACTGGTGTACGCGTGTGTGTGTGTGTGTGTGTGTGTGTGTGTGCATCACGAAAGGAAAAAGGAGCAGGGCTAGCCGTTTGGAATCGGGGCAGTTCTCCGGCCCAGGTTCGGAACGACATGCCGCCGGACTCCAATTCACCGACGTTTGGACTCGGACTGATCTGTCTCTCAAAACTCTCAGTTCCAATGCATTGGAACAAGGCTGTCATGCTGGCTTCATGTCTCATCTGGCTTCTTTGAGTTGCGATGAGATCGCTCTAACTCTAGAAGTACAAAGCTAAACAACTGCAGCGGGCTCGGTCACATAAGACCCCACGGTGTGCCTAGATTGGTCGTTTTCAGCATCTACAACCCCACCATTTGTTATATTATATGCTTTACCTCCAATCAGAAGGCTGTTTAAGAGGCTTTCTTCAATTTCTCTTGGCTTCAGTCTTCCGCACCCCGCCTTCCATACCAAACCCACCGCCCCGCTCAGCTGGCGCCGAACAGCTCGAGGGCTTCATCTCGAGTACGACACTCCTTGTGACCCTTGGCGCGCTCCTTCAACGGCTCCGTGTCGGCCGCGCTGCGGGGCTTCAACGCACCCAGTTTTTGGAGGGCGTCCATGACCTGTGAGGGCGTCAACGCGCCGGAGGTCGACCAAGCTGGGAAGGTTGGGAGCAGGTCGAGCTGGGTGTGCATGTTGCTGGCCGGGAGACCTTCTGGCCGGGTTGTCAGTCTATGTCTTTTCTTCCAAGGGGTATTTTGAGCCTTGCGGAGGTTGGTCTTCGCACACACCCAAAGTGTCTCACCCCTGGCAGTGTCTCACGAGGTGTCCCGATGAAAAGAAAACAATGAATGATTTCAGAGGGGCAGGAGGACTTCAGTCGACTTCTAGGCGTAACCTCCTATACAAAAGATCATTAGGCTAGGCACCTAGAGTTCCTGGCTGAAGGTGGGGTTAAAAAGCTGATCCCATCTGATTCCCGAAAAATACAAACACCTTGTGTTTAAGATGTTTTACAAATAATGTTTGCAACTGCAATGAACCCAGTCAATCTTTATCTGACTGGTCTTGGAAGGCTAGGGCATGACATGTACAGTGTTTTCATCTACTCCTGGACTCCCCTATGGTACAGATAAAGTTGTACCACATGGTGTTTTGCTACATCTTTTATGTAAACGAGCGTCTTTCTGAAAACCCATGTCAAGCGAGCACATTTTTTTGGAGGGATCTCTTCAACCTGTTTGGATCTCACATGACCTTGTGGGGACATGGGTGGCTGTGGCTGTATATGCATGCCGCTGTTTTGAAGTTTTGGGCTCAGCTGTGACCACTTCGACCTTTCATTGAGCTGATGTCTGAAGGACGGACAGGGCAGCTTTGCTGATGTGACAGACTCACACATTGTGGTGCATGCATGAACTAGGAGTGGTATGGGGGCCTGTCACTGCTGAAGGATTTCTGAAAATCTTTTGGCCGAAGGCGCTGATGCTTAATGCTGGGCTGTGTGAATGCACTTGCTGTGCTGACTGTGTCGAATGTACAGACTCCATATGCTCCCCTGCGCCAGAGCACTCACTGGCCCAAAACACGTGCTCAACCTTGGACCAGTCATGGTTCATTATGAGCAGGCTGCTCTCTTGGCCACGGCTTGGGCGAATGACCCACATGTCAGCGCAATGGCTGCGCGGCATTGCATAGTGGTACCCCCGAGCAAGGATGCCAAAACGAAATCCAAGATCCAGCGAGGCCACTGATGTGTTGCTGCTTGATTCACTGTACTCACGCATGGGGTCCTATTAAAGGAAAGTGCATGGATGGCCACTCTGATCAGGTGACTTGAAGGCAAACGCTGAAGCTGTTGGCCTTGCCTGCAAATACGTTGGGACAAGGCCTTCACTAGCTGTCATGGAACAAGCAGCCCACTCGTTCTTTTCGATGAAACTTCCGCGAGACACTGCAATTTGCAGCATCATGGTGCAAATTTGTTAGAGAGTAAGCGTGCTAAGGAAAACTGTTTTCAATCAAAGTGGTGCACACCATGGGTTCACTAACTCTACCTAAGGTACTCGAACGAAAGCGCATGCGAAGATGACCATGCGAATGGTGTTTGCATTCTCTCGAGTGGTAAAGCTGCTAGGTTGCGTGTGTGTGCTGTGTTGCAGCTGCCTTTGCGCAAATTACATGTTGCGCTTCCTGGGTGTTATCTTTCTGCACGGTAGCATGTGATGCTTTACTGAGGCGCCCTCACTGCCCTCGATCCCCTCGTATTAGATTGATATATGAGCTGGCCGGAATTCCTCTACCAAAAGGTCCAATACCCAGTCTGTTTATTCATAAGGGGATGTTGCTGTTTCATGCACTTTGCAGGTGATGACGATGGGGATTCCAGCAGCAGCTGTTCAACGGATGTGGAGACCGTCGCTGGGTAAAGACAAATGCACGCGTGATTTTTCATGCATGAAGGGGTGGGCTCAGATGCACGCATGATTGTTCACGCATGAAGGGGCGGGCTCACACATGTTGCATTCATGCTTGTTTCACTCTGCAACTCTTTAAGTTTAAAGTGTTGAGACCATGCCATCCTTGCGTGTTTAATCAATATACAACGCACTGTGAGATGAGTCTGATTGGTTCCATACATGCATGCATGGCTGTTCATTAGGAAGATGAGACTTCTTTGCCACAGAGTGCCTTGACGACTGCAGCATTTGAAACACGTTCAGAGCCTTTGCCTGGGGTAGAGCATGTCTCCAAGACTGAACCGGCTGAAGTACCTTCACAACCGGTGCTTTTGGCAGAGCGTGTCTCCAAGACTGAACCGGTTGAAGCACCTTCACAGCTGGTGCTTTTGGCAGGGCCTGTCTCCAAGACTGAACCGGTTGAAGCACCTTCACAGCCGGTGCTTTTGGCAGAGCATGTCTCCAAGACTGAACCGGCTGAAGTACCTTCACAGACTGTGCTTTTGGCAGCAACCGCAGTTCCTTTACCTCGGCCCCCTGCCAGCCCGGCTCGAAGCAGTCTGGCTCTTAGCAAGGGGTGCGGTCAATGCAGAAGTCTTTTGAAGCATCATCAGCGGGGGTTCATAAGATCATGCATGAATGGAAATATGAGCTTCGACCCTGTTGCTTAAATTTTGTATATTATGGGGGTGTGGCCAAGACTGGGGTCATTGCCAAGAAATAGGGATCCACAGTAATATGGAAAAGTTTTTTGTTTTGTGAGGCTGCAGTCATGTGACACCTCCTCCACGGGATGCAGGCCAGTGGTCACACCTTTTTCGCCAGATTTGTTTAAGAGTATATGTAGTTAAAATTGGCAGGTGCAGTGGTTGAGGTGACGCCTGTAAAGGTGGCCAAGCATGATGGAAGTCCCTGGGCCCAATCCATTTGGCATGCATGATTTTTGTTGCATTCCTTTAGAGGGTGGGTTCCTATGTTGCCTAAGGCAGAGCCCTCCTTCAGGAACTGATGGAGCTTGAGCTCTTGTTGGAGCGGAAAGCGAGAGACAAGGCTGAGGCTGAGAAGGTTGTGGCGCCTGTTGTTTGGAAGGGCATCACTGCCAAACCTCCGGTGGTCTGTTTGTATCTCAGTTTGCTCGGTTCAACCTATGTAAACTGAACTTCTCTTGCTTGGGCACATGCTAGGTTTAAGTCTAGCAGTACATTGGCTGCTGAGGCCCTGACAATGTGGAGACCCAAGTGATGGATTTTGAGTATGTGTCCATGCATGCTCATGCGCTCCTCCTTGATCCAAGTCAAAAACTTTCAGTGGAACCTACTGGCTCTGATGTCCCAACTTCTCATGAGGTGTCGGCCTACCCCATGGAGGCTTTCCTCGATGACATCCCATGTCCCCGTAGTTTGGCAGCTGACCTCGACCTTTGCCACTCCCCGGTGGAAGAGATTGAAGAGACCCCATACCTTGATGCTGCCGTGGGATGTGATCAAGACCCTCCTGAATCAGTGATGGAAGTTGAACTGATCCCAGGCCCTGGTAGATTGGACGATCCTTTCAACGCCTCTCCAGGCACACCTAAGTCGGAGTTGGCTCTTGCAGACCTCCCAACGCCTGGGAAGATTGGGCCAAAGGCTCTTGCTGCTACACTAGGTGAGGCTGAGAAACCCCGAGAGATTGTTGATGCAGTTTCTTGTCGGCATTCATGTGAGGATTGAAACATTCAACATTAACATATGTATGATCTAAATTCCATTGAATGTGACCAGGGGGTGACACGCATGGTCTCATGAGTCATGAGGTCGAGGAAGCTCCGCCCGAGTGCGCTGCACTGCTTCAATCTGCTGCTGAGATGATGCCGGGTCATGGTCCTAAGCCACCGGGAAGGAAACCAGGTGTAAAGACAGGGGAGGGAAAAGCTGCCTGCGGAGCAGCAAAGGCAAAGGCGAAGGCAAAGGCGCAGGCAAAAACCAGGGGTCGCGCCAGTAAGGCCAAAGCAAAGGCAAAGGCCCGGGCTGGAAAAAATGCAAACAAGGGACCAAAGGCAAAGAAGGCTGAACCAAAGGTTAGGGGAAAGGCTGCAGCAGCGGCAGCAAAGAAACGAGCAAAGCCACAGCTCAGTGAGGCAGCCAAGGCAGCCAAAGAACGGAACCGAGTGAAGAGCAAAGCATACCACCAGGCCAAGGTTGCGAAGTTGCGGGAGGGGGCATCTCCAGAAGATGCAAAGGCAGCTGGCCGTGTCGGGTCCCAAGTTTCACTGTGTGAGGATGTAGCTTTGCGAGCAGGGGGAGAAGTTGCTACTATATGTGTTTCTCATGTTTCCCAGGCCGCTGCAGCGCTCATCACTTCCAAGTGATGCATCTTGCTTAGCCCTTTAAGTGGTTAGTGCGTTCATGTCCATGCATCTCCAGGATTCTCAGCCCAACCAAGGTGATCTGCCCTCATGGGCGGTGTTGGCAATTTGACGTTTGTGAGCTTGCTGCAAGGGGAATTGCTCAAGCGCCCTGTGTTTCCATGCATAGTCAAAGGCATACATGTTGGCTTTTCAGCGTGTTTTCCAGAGTGTGACCATTCTGGATTGTTCTTAACGCTTTGAATGATCAGTACACTGCGTGGGGAGCTTAAAACAGGGTGTGCTGGTCTGTGCAGCCAATGTTTTACATGCATGCACATGGTAAGCATGAATGAAGGCATCGCAAATAGGTCCAGGTTACTCGCGTGATATCATGCAAGTTTCAGCCAGGCACTGTTGAAGTACATATGCATACTGCCCATGGATTTAGTTTTCGCTTTTTTGTCCTTGCCGGACCAGGTGCGAACGTGCTGATTGACCTGCGAACGAGCTGAAGTGCCCCTCCATGTTTGGACTTGTGGGGGGGAACAAAGTGGGGCTTTGCTGTCTAGTGCTTGTGCATTACATTTTTGCATCCAGCCTTGCCGGTCTGCACGGCTTGCTACGTTATCTTCTACTGGCTTCAGCTCATTTTGTAGAAGTGAGATGGCCATGGCCGCGGTGGGACTTGACTAAGGACCGCTTCATGTGTTCACCAGTAGCTTTCATTCACTGATGTTGCAAACATGAACGAAGCTATGTAGAGCCAGTGGCTGAACTTTTTTATACGCTTATCGAATTCAGTTTGAGACTATCCTTGAGTACTGTTTCTGCAGGT